TCCGTGACATTAACACTAGAGTATCTATTCGTTTCATGCGGAGAAAAGGAGGGGATAAGCTGTTTGAGAGCGTTCAGACCTGCTTGAGTGACGTACACACTTCCAGGAAACTGAGGGAGACACGCTATACGAGAGGATTAGCTCATGACCTCAGGGAATACGACGTACTTGACTGCTGTAAACCCTCTCGACAGTGTAATATGTCTGCTCCCTGGAAAGTACAGAAAATAGACGTCGAAATTGTACCCCTCAAGGTGAAAAAGATTCATCATGAACCGGGACAATTACGGTGTTTGTATGGAAGCATGATATCTCGGTTACCAAGAGGCAACAGTTTACATGTATATTGCGACGGGTCGGTGGCGAAGATGGCAGGGCAGGGTGTGGTGTCCTAATAAGGGATTATACGGAGTTTGGGACTGTGGACAGGATAATTGAACTCCGGCTTAGTAATTATATATCATCCACACAAGCTGAACTGCAGGCCATTCTGGCGTGTTTGGAGGAAGTACGTCATGACGACAAAAATGTTTTTGTATTTGTCGATAGCCGAGGAGCACTGGAGTCCTTAAACAGTCGAAACCCAGTCTTCATGTCTATAGTGGAGGACTGTAAGAGAAGAATAACTGAGATACAGCTGAAAGGTTATAGTGTGAAATTCATGTGGATTCCATCTCATGTTGGAATAGTGCTCAACGAGGTGGCGGATGACTTGGCCAAACGTGCCACATCAAAACCACAAGTTGACATTGAATGTGAATTCACAATGAGACAAATAAGAAGCAAAATCAGAAATATTCAGGCACAGGCGGGAGTGGAGAGGAGAGAGATAATGTATGAGAGTAGTCAAACCATGCAACACTACATGTATGTGAGTCAAAACACCCATTTCACTTATGGTAAAAGGAGAAATGCTTGGAGTGACTCTGTGTACATGCGGCTCAGGCTTGGGTACAAATATTACTGGGAATATGGGATAGATGTTCATGGTAATGACACGAAGTGTAAACTATGTGGTATGTTAAGGTCTCACACCCTTGCCCATTATATTCTTGATTGTCCGTCGATTAATGTATATAGAAACACTGAGATAAGGACTGTTCCTGAACAAATAGCCTGGATGTGTCACAACGGAAAGGTTGATGATATTCTTGAGAGATATAAGAATTTTGCACCAAGATTGTAATATTTTGTTGAATTATCTGCAGGTGTCTTGCAAATTGTCTATACAGTATACCTAGGTCATAAAAGTATTTGTGTGTACGTCTGATAACATACTACTTGTGAAGGAGGAAATGTATATGTTTACCTCTCAGAATGTTTGGTAATGTGTTTATTTGTGATGTGTGTATATGTATATATTAACACGTTGTACTGAATGGGGTGAGAATAGCTTGAGCTACCTCATCCCTTTGTGTGTATTTTACCTCAATAAACTTATTTCAATTTCAATTTCAATTTCAAAGGTGTGAGGTCTTTTGAACTCGGCACACCTCAGGGAGGAGTGTTGAGTCCCACCCTGTTTAATGTACTAATGAATAAGATAGCATCTGAGAGATGCTTAAATGGGGTAACTCCGATCATATATGCCGATGATATTTTGTTTCAGAGCAAAGTTATTTCAAAGGTTCAAACAGTGTTGGACAATTTCGGAAACCTGTGTCACCATATGGGACTGGTGGTTAATGAAAACAAAACTAAGTTTGAATGTAGAAGTCGGAGCCCCATTGTATTGAAAATAAACGGTAAAAATATAGAGAGAGTTAATATATATAAATATTTTGGTATATATGTTGGATATACCCATGAGAGTTTGGAAGCTGAGATGAACAGACTGTTGGGTCAATGTCGGAAGAGATTACAACCCCTGAAGGCCTTGGCATGCTGTGGAAAGGGAGTGGGAGTCGATGATTGATTGATGAAGATTAAGCCACCCAAAAGGTGACACGGGCATGAATAGCCCGTAAGTGGTGGCCCTTTTAAGCCATTACCAGTATCAAGAGCTGATACTGGAGATCTGTGGAGGTGCGAATGCACCCTGCATGACGGGAGATGTCTCCCTTATGAATGTGTTAAGATGAAGATGAAGCAACCCAAAAGGTGGCACGGGCATAAATAGCCCGTAAGTGGTGGCCATTTTAAGCCATTACCAGTATCAAGAGCTGATACTGGAGATCTGTGGAGGTGCGAATGCACCCTGCATGACGGGAGATGTCTCCCTTGTGAATGTGTTAAGATGAAGCCACCCAAAAGGTGGCACGGGCATAAATAGCCCGTAAGTGGTGGCCATTTTAAGCCATTACCAGTATCAGGAGCTGATACTGGAGATCTGTGGAGGTGCGAATGCACCCTGCATGACGGGAGATGTCTCCCTTGTGAATGTGTTAAGATGAAGATGAAGCCACCCAAAAGGTGGCACGGGCATGAATAGCTCGTAAGTGGTGGCCCTTTTGAGCCATCACCAGTATCAATAGATGATACTGGAGATCTGTGGAGGTGCGACTGCACCCTGCGTGACGGGAGATGTCTCCCGGACCAAATGATGACCGGTCCTGATGTTGATTGATGATTGATGAAGATTAAGCCACCCAAGAGGTGGCACGGGCATGAATACCCCGTACGTGGTGGCCCTTTTGAGCCATTACCAGTATCAAGAGCTGATACTGGAGATCTGTGGAGGCGCGACTACACCCTGCGTGACGGGAGATGTCTCCCGGACCAAGTGGTGACCAGATGGAGTGGAAGTCCCTGTGCTACGAATGATATACTTGAGTACTGTAAGATCTCTTATTGATTATGCTGCACCTGTCATTTCTTGTTTTGGTAAAGGTAGGATGGGCAAGTTAGAGAAGGTACAAAATGAAGCCATGAGAATTATCTTAGGATGCCCAAGAAATGCTATGATTGAGATAATGAGGATGGAGTTGAATCTGCAGAGTATTGGGGATAGAATTGAAGAGATAAATGTAGCCTCTGCCATTAGATTAATGAGAGGTGGGGGAGCTAATGAATTAATCCTCTCGGTTCAAAAGGTGGGAAGTAGTGAACAGTGTATGATGAAGAAGAGAGTATATATGAATAAATTATGTTATAATGTTATAAAGTATGATGTTATTACAGAGTGTGTTGCTGTACCCAAGAGAAAATTTACACCACCATGGGAGGATTGTAATGTAGATGTAGTAATTACTCCCTTGCATAAGAAAAAAGTATGTATGAAATAGGAGAGCTGAGGGCAACATATGATTGTATAATTAGAAAACTGCCTACAGAAAACACTCTACATGTATATTGTGATGGGTCAGTAGCTAGGGATGGGAAGGCAGGACGTGGAGTCTTGATCAGGGAGTACACTGACATCGGCACTGTAGATACTGTTATTGGACGCCGCTTAACTGACAATGTCTCTTCAACGCAGGCTGAACTCCAAGGTGTATTAGCAGGATTACAGGAATTACAGGAAGTAGTCAAATGTGGTAAAAATGCTTGCTTCTTTATTGACAGCAGAGGAGCGTTAGAGTCTTTAAATAGCAGACGCCCAGTATATCAGAATATTGTGATAGAGTGTTGAGAGAATGTTAAGAGACTAGAAAAAACTGGGTATAAAGTAAGATTCATGTGGATCCCTTCACATGTGGGAATACTGTTGAATGAGGTAGTTGATGACATAGCGAAGAGAGCCACTGAAAAAAACTCTTGTTGATGTTGTATGTCAGTTAACCTTGAAACAAATAAAAACAAGAATCAAGATGATCCAGGAGGGTGAAGAAATGGTAAAGAGAATGGCAATGGTGGACAGTAGTAACACACTTAAGAATTATTCAATAATAAATACAAATTCGTCCTTCACTTATGGTAAAGGAAAGTCTACTTGGAAGGATTCAATTTACATGAGATTAAGATTAGGATACAAATATATCTGGCAATACGGTGTTGATGTCAGTGAAAAAGATAAGGAGTGTAAATTATGTAGTATGCCGTACGCCCACACCTTAGAACATTATGTATTAGAGTGTCAACTTATTGAAAACTATAGAAATAAGGAAATAAATAGTGTACCACATCAAATTGTTTGGATGTGTGATAATGGTATGATAGACAGTATACTTAGGAGCTACAAGAATTTTGCCCCGAGAGTGTAACGATTATATGCTGTACTTACTATATAAACCTGCAATGTTAAATGGGATTCTTGTAATGTTATTTGTCTATTTGTACTCACTGAATTTGTGCGCCCCTTGAGGGACTTGAAGTAGAGGGGGGGGGGGTAGAAATAGCCTAAGCTACTCTATCCCTGTGAGATGTATTTATTGCTTATCTCAATGTTCTTCTGATACGTGGTTATTTATTTATTTATTTATTTATATACAAGAAGGTACATTGGGGATTAACAGAGAACATAAAAATTGAGTTGATTTTACATTCTTGTAAAGCCACTATCACGCAAGCGTTTCGGGCAATCATAATTGAATTGAATTGAAATTGAAATAAGTTTATTGAGGTAAAATACACACAAAGGGATGAGGTAGCTCAAGCTATTCTCACCCCATTCAGTACAACGTGTTAATATATACATAGACACACATCACAAATAAACATATTGCCAAACATTCTGAGAGGTAAGGCAATCATAATAGTTTGGTCATCATATCATCTATATATTTTCGTTTAAAAACAAATAACGTGATTAATATATAAAAAGTATACTCTGAATTACATTATAATTAATTCATATAATGGTCACGCTGAGCTTTATTTATTTCGTTATTACAAAATAAAACAATATTTAGGCATAATTATTAGTTTGAGTTTCCCGCCAATACCAAATGAGACTTTTTATCACTCCTTTTTCCTCGTTGAACCTAATATATATTTTTCAAATGTTATTTGTCAAGTTTTAATGTACAAAGAAATATATTTAGTATATATAATTAGGATTTTATTTCTTAATAAAGAATTTAGATTAATGAAAGGATCTCAAGCGATTGTTTACATGTTTTAAACAGGCAAGTCTGGGATAGTTTGAACTGGTGCGAGAGGCGCAGACACATCTTTCGTCTGCTGAGCCCTGCTGACTGTGTCCTGCTGCCTCTGACGAGTCCTACTCCCACTGGTGATCCTTTGTCTGTTATGTTACCCAGTAATTTGTTGCATGACGTGAGAACATTGTTTCTAAATCAGTGTTTACCCGAGGCTTTCTTAATCTAGGATTTTTTTTAAATTTGTAGCATTTGTTTTGTTTTCTATTTTGTCTTGATATGTTTAGCACCTTATTAATAATATCTCCTTTGTTACACTCGGCTTCATTCATATATATCCCTCAGTCATGTTACTCCTTACTCCCTTGACTTTCTTGAGGACGTAAATTAAGCCTCCTGAATCTATTTATAAGGAAGCTACTTAATTTCTTAGGTTAACTATCTTTTTATTTTTTATACCTGTTCAAGTGAATTTGTTCATCCTGTAGTGCAGAGACTGAACCTGAACTGCATGATCTAAATGGGACTCAACAAGGGGAAGATAAAACTGAAGATTAACATTCATAGTCTTATTGATAATGCTTCCTGAAATAAATCTCTAGTAACCTGTCTTATACATTTGTGTAATCTCTGTGGCTTGGATCCTAGCTTATCATGCCTTGGAGTTCTTTTTTTCATTCATATTTTGCATTCTCAATTGACTTGAGAATGGTCCTGGACGGACCGAAACGTCATCATCCCTTCACTTTCTAATGTGTGGTCTGGTCATCATATTTTGCAATTTCAATGCATCTAGTTTAGGGGGCTCACTCATTTGCTGTGGCACACCAAATATCATATGATTCTGAACCATGTGGGCCAGGGCAATGAAGACCTTTTCCCCTTCTGGAGCAACGTGTAAAGCACTCGTTAAAGGGAAAAACAAAATAATAAAAATATTTACATTAGTTTCTAGTATTGCTTCTTAGTGATGCGTCGCATCTCTTGCTCTGGCACATCGTATCAAAGTTCAGAGGAAATGATTGAGCTACAGCAACCTTGAGTATTTATTTCAGGTGTGTATCATTAGCTTGAAAATGAAGCATATTTGTTGACGTTTACTACAGAGAGCTATTCTGACCCATGTGCTTCTAAACATGGACACTGCAAATATCAACAATCAAAATTTTTTCACTCTGAACAAAATCATATTTATAATTAAATTATTTCTAGATAAAGAAATTCTGTCGGTTCATGCATAGGCTATTACGGTACTGCGTGTTTCATTAAAATCTGTTCCCTATGCAGTTCATAAAAGTTCTCCAATACAGCTCCCCATCTTAGCCATAGAACAGTGTGATATGGCAATCCATGAGGATTCTCATTTACTTACAAAAAGCAAATGCACTGTCTATACAGTAATTACCTAAGTGTAATTAACCAAGTGTAGTTACAGGATGAGAGCTATGCTCGTGGTGTCCCGTCTCCCCAGCACTCTTTGTCATGTAATGCTTTGAAATTACTGACGGTTTTGGCCTCCACCACCTTCTCACTTGACTTGTTCCAACCGTCTACCACTATATATACAAAAAAAAAAGTGGTCGAGACTTTGTGCTTATATAAAGATATCCTTACAACAACTTTTGTGACATTGTTCATTGTTGATGTTTTACGGCAAGTTACTCTTTGAACAGACATGATCAACAAAAACCGTAATGCTGTATACAGTACTCTGGTTGATACTTGGTTGATGAGGTTCTGGGAGTTCTACTCCACAAGCCTGGCCTGAGGCCAGGTTTGACTTTTGAGAGTTTGGTCCACTAGGCTGTTGCTTGGAGCGGCCCGCAGGCCCACATACCCACCACAGCCCGATTGGTCTGGCACTCCTTGGAGAAACCTATACAGTTTTTTCTTGAAGATTTCCATGGTTGTTCCGGCAATATTTCTTATAGTCGCTGGGAGGATGTTGAACAACCGTGGACCTCTGATGTTTATACAGTGTTCTCTGAACGTGCCTATGGCACCCCTGCTCTTCACTGGTTCTATTGTGCATTTGCTCCCATATCATTCACTCCAGTACATTGTTATTTTACTGTGTAGATTTGGGACCTGGCCCTCTAGTATTTTCCATGTGTATATTATTTGATATTTCTCTCGTCTTCTTTCTACCGAGTATATTTGGAGAGCTTTGAGATGATCCCAATACAGTAACTTGGGTGCTTTATCGCGTCTTATGTATTCTACGTGTGTTCTCTGTACTCCCTCTATTTCAGCACTAGACAAATTTCCTTGACACTGGACTGGTAACTGTATGTTTGCCTCGTCTTAAGACTCGATGTGACATGCATGATGAGTATGGCTCTAGTTAAAGTTTTGGCCCACATCACATGGAGGTCGGATATACAAATAAATGTTCTGCATCACCTACACAGAATGCTATTGTTGCTAAAATTAAAATGCCACACTTTGCCTGACAGATAGCTGAATAGTACTGGTAGAAGCAGGAGAACATTGAGAAGCATAAAGTTACATTATTCAGGAACTGGTACCACTCAAACTTCTGAATCTTCCACTATGAACATGGTTCTTGAGGACTCCATCACCACTGTGAACATCACCTATGTAATCAATAGCAATTCTGTCTTCAGGAAAAATTAATAATAACTGGTCAAGTTTGCCCTTGGATAGCTCTTGGTCATGTGAAATATTGTCAACCCTTCACTGGAACAAACTGTAATACTTTAGGTGATGTTTTAAAATTGTTACTGTATATTTAGAACATGCTTCCTTACATGTACTGTACAGAATATGGATACTGTCTAGGTTTATACAGATGGGTCAATATTTTAAGTTACAGTAGGATAGTCCTCTTAACTAATATCATTTTTGTTTTAATAGATATAGCATCTGTCTCCACAGTGGAATTGTCGGCTATATTACTGGCGCTATAGATTGGCTGCATTATGAACAGTGAACGAATAAACTGTTTACTGTGATTCTAAGAGCAGCGTAGGGGGGGTTTAGAATCGTATAATGTCTTTCTGTTGTGATTTAAAATTATGAAAAGGGAAATTATAGCAAAGAAGGGGATGAACAAATTTAAGTTTGGGTATTGGTACATGTTAATGTCTGATAATTAAATCTATCTCCTATCCTTGAAGGATCCAGTGATTTGATCAGCTATTTGGACTGTGTTTACCAATTGGGCACTTGCTTGATGCTAGGACATCTGTCGGGAAGAGAGATGCCCAGAGTTTGATACTTGTATGGTATTCAGAGTGTATGCCATTTCTGTAATGTTCCCCCCACAGGTGACCCTGTGTAGTAGACCCTTCACAAAGGCCATAGGCCACAAAGGATGTTATTGCATTTCTTTTTTTTTTTTTTTTTTCCCCCCAAATCTCCTGATGCCATCCATGTATCAGTACCGTACTGTTTTAAATCTTTTGCTTGTTACACCTTGCCGTGATGTGCTTATTTGACCTTGCCATTAGTGTGCCAGTGGAATTACCTAATTCTGTAGTCTTCATCTGCCACAGCTGGCTGTCCCTTAATTTCTAAATGTATTCTTTTTGCATATTTTAGGGAAACTATATACTGTACTCTGACGCTCTTGCATAACATTTGCTATGGAATTGGACACACTTTCTAGATATTGCTGCTGTTATAATGTTGTTAAACCTGCAGAACAGTGCTGTATAATATGTTTCTGTCTACACTTAATCAGTTGCTCTACTCTTTCATTTCTTGCATCATAGCATGTCCTATTTATATCCTTTTCCTTAAAATTTATATTGGTGCTTCGACCACATTGCTCTCATTGCTCATATATTAAAATTTGAAGTAGTTTTACAATTTATGCCTCTTGAAAACTGTGCATTTGTCTCGTCTGGGGTGCTGCGGGATGGTAAAAGTTAGACATGTTATATTTTATGTTGCTCTCGTGCTACTTGATGTTTCTTTCTTTTTATCCAAATTTTGTGTATATAGAAAACAATGGGGATAATAAGTATTTGTTTTTGTTATGCATGCTATTGTTATTTGGAAAAAAAATTCCAATGCTCTACTAGTACTTTGTAAATTATTTTAAATTGAACTGGTCCTAATTTTGAATTTGTTGCATAGTCCAGATTAAGTGTGAGAGCTGCTTTGCTAAGAAGAGTCACGGCTAGACGGTAGCATTGCCTTAAAACAATGTCCCACCTCCAGTTTGAGGCCAAACTTAATGAAGCGCTGAGGATGGACGGAGAGTTGACAAGAGGTCCGCTTCCTCGGTGGCAGAGGAAGGCACAGGAGCAAGGTGTGCCTTCACTTGTAATAAGTAGTGAGAATGGTAAGTTAATGAGGTTCCAGGTCATGTTGTTTTACTTCAAGCATGTGTCTTGACAACCATAATCAGATGTCATTTTCTAACTATGCTATCTAACCTAGGAATTTGTAACCTAATGTTCTGTATGCCTAGTTGGGTATCTAGAATAGTGTAAGGGGTAAAGTATGTTTGTTGCTCGTCCTCGCTGCATGCAATACAAGATTATGAAGTTTGTAAAATGATTAGTGAAGTGCAGTTTACATTTTAAAGTTACACAAAGGTGCATTTTAGTGAAATTCACCTTGGTGGAAGGGCTTGTACTTGCCGCCTTTTAACCAATATAGTAAAGAACTGTACAATCGGTTTTGTTCCAGAGTACTAGCCTAAATAATAGCTGTTAGAGGCACTGTTTTAATTTGTCTTATAGTTAACCTTTTTAGGAATAGATTTAATTTTTCTTTTTATTTCGCTGATGTTAATTATTTATATGCTAGGAATTGAGGTTACTAAAGATAGCCCAGTTGTTATGTACAGGGCCACAAAATTATAATTTCTCTGACCCATTTAGAAATTAACAGGAGATTTACTGTATACAAACACAAGGCACAAGCATAGAATGCATGCAATGTTAGAATCTAATAGATGCCCAAAACTGAAGGTTAATGCATTACTGATCAGGATACTTTATACTTGCATTCTGCCCAACATATACTTAAACATATATAGGTGGTTATAGAAACAGGAATATAGTGCTGTATTTCACACACACAAAGGGTAAGAATCAATCTACTGCCAGGTGCCAGTTATGACATGCACAAGAAACATCCTTAAATATCTCTTAAATCCTGTACTAGTCTTACATGAGGCACTTCAATAAGATATTAGTTTTGGAAAGAAGATACTCGATCCTTGAGGGTGGAAACTTTATACAGTACAAGCTTGGAAGAATGGAGTTATTTTCCATGTCCAAGACCCATATCCACCCCGTGACCGACTGCCTCTCTCACAGTGACAGATTGACCCATCCTCAGACCAAGTCCATTCCATGCAGCGGTCGACCCCAAAGACGCATTCGTCAATTTTAACATGCTGTTCATTCAAAACGGGAATTTTCTGAAATATGAATTAATATTATTATACATTAGTGTATTTAAGCATTGCTTAGGTCAGATATTTTAGGTTCTATTGACCTAAATTTGTATTTCTAGAACGTGGATGAAGCATATACAGCGTTGTGGTTCGAACAAAAGTAGTCCGCGTAGCACTTGGTCCGGAAGTGTTCAGACTGCATCAGTTGCGAGTCGTGTGTAAACCTCTTTTTTTTTTCATTATAAACGGGGTTTGGTGGGTGCATGGAATGGACTTTGGCCTTTGTTTATAAGGACAGGCTGGGCAGTCACATCTTGTGTTCCTCGTTCCCGCCAACATTTCAATTTTTTTTAACACTTTCGTCCACTAATGACGAAGTATGAAGTCAAATTTTTAATACTGTACCTTATTTCCACTAATGACGAAGTATGGCGTCAAAATTTGGCCGGCTTTCGTCTTGGATGAGGGAGAAGTGCGCCACGGTTTTGGACATTATATGCCTATACTCCTGTAGGTAATTTCATTGTGAATACATTGATACCAAAATGAAAGATCTAGGACAAGAATTGTGGTAACAAAGTTGAAAAGAGTAAGCACATTTTATTGCTCTTGATAAGCGCTCATGGGGGTAACACGCTGTCACTTTGTTTGCTGTGGGTGGTATGCTGGGCTTTTGGACTTTATATATGCATATTCTCCTTTAGGGAATTCTATTGCGAACCCAATGATACCAAAATGAAAGACCTAGGACGAAAATTGAGGTGACCAAAGTGAAAAGAATGTACAGATTTTCTCGCTCTTGCGCACTCCATGGTAACTTGCTCTCACTTTGTCTGTTTGCTGCAGGTGGTAAGCCGGGCTTTTGTAGTGTATATGCTTTTAGTCCTGTAGAACATTCTGTTACGAACACATTGATACAAAATTGAACAACCTAGGACGAGAATTAAGGTGACAAAGTTGAAAAGAGTATACACTTTTCACTATTACTGCGCGCTCCCGCAGAACGCCCAAAACCACTAGGAAAGGTGGAGCAATAGCGCTGGAACCGCAAAAGTGTTAAGGTTCAAATTATTTCTTCAGTGCACCCTCATAGAAGTTTGTAGGGTTGTGGTCTGTATTTCACCATTTAACGCAATACTGTATTTAAATCATTTTTTCCAACTGGTGGTATAATTGGGTTTGTTCTAAACTTGCACTTGAGAATCCTGGGTTCGAATCCTGGGTTACTGTGAGGGCAGTAATCGGTAACCCATTGAATCCTGATGGGTTCGAATCCCGCAGCCGCGTCCAACAGCCTGGTTGACCAGTCCAACAACCAGGAGGCCTGGTCGATGACTGGGCCGCAGGGGACGCTAAGCCCCAGAAGCACCTCAAGGTAACCAAGGTAGCACAAAAATGTTTTGGCACATTTCCTATCACTTTATGCCTCTGTTCATCTAGCAGTAAATAGGTCTGCAGGTGTTAGTCGGCTTGTGACTTTATGCCTCTGTTCATCTAGCAGTAAATAGGTCTGCAGGTGTTAGTCGGCTTGTTGTCGAGTTGCATCTAGGGTAAGGTCAGTACTGTAGTTCAACCTTGAAATGGAACCTTGATGTAACCCTAGTGTGTGTAATTACCCAAGTGTACAGTAGGTACAGGATGAGAGCTTCGTTTGTGGTGTCCCATCTTCCCAGCACTTTGTCATATAATTCTTTGAATCTACTAATGGTTTTGGCCTCGACCTTCTCACTTGTTCCAACCATCTACCACTGTTTGCAAAAGTGAATTTTGTAATATTTTTTCAGCAGCTTTGTTTAGTTACCTTAAATCTGTGACCTCTCTCTTGATGTTCCAGGTCTCGAGAATTCTTCTTTATCAATTTTGTCTATTCCCATTACTATTTTATACATAATGATCATATTGCATATTTTCTTTTCTTTCATCTTCTAACTTTAACATATTTAATGCCACTAACTTCTGGTAGCTCTTGCTTTCAGTTCTGGAAGCCATTTAGATCCATATCTTTGCACTTCATCTAGTTTATGTGCTTCTTAAGATAGGGGAATCATACAACCGGTGCATATTCCAACTTTGGCCTCAAATGTCGTGAACTATTCCTTTAATATTTTATCATCCACATATTTAAAAGCAATTCTGAAATTGGAAAGTGTAGCATAGGCCCTCACAGTGGTCTTCAGGTGGTGGCTTTCTGTCTAGAACCATCGTTAGATCTCTATCAGAATTGTTTAAAGATTTTTCACATAATTTGTAGAATGTGTGAGCCCTATTTTCTCCTATTCCACAGCATGGTATTTGTTTACATTAAATTCCATTTACCAAGTGAGGCTCTTCTTTTGTCCAGGTCTTCAAGGGCATGACAATGGTCTACCTTACTTTGTCGTTACCTAGTGGTGATTACGCTGGAAGATCGTTTATGTAGACAATGAGCATTACTGGTGCTAGAACTGAACCCTGTGGTGCTTTACTGGTAACACTTCTTCAGTCTGATACATTGTCTCTGATTGCTGCCCTCATTTATGATTAATAATAATTCATTGTGTTGTGACAGGAAGCAGGTGTGTATTAAACACCTGCTAGGTCGAATTACTGACCTATCCTAGGATGCAATCCCACAACCAGCTGACTAACTCCTGAGTATATACCTACTTACTGCTAGGTGAAAGGAAATGTACTCGACCATTTCTGTCCCGCCCTGGATTTGAACCCGGAATTCTCGATTGTGCATCGAGAACGAACCTGATTGTACTACTGGGATTTTTCTGTATATACAGTGGTACCTTCATTTTTTTTAATTTAATTTGCTTCCCAGAGATGGTTAAAAAAAATTTCCCATAAGAAATAATGTAAATTGAATTACAATTTACACTCAAAAATTTTAACAAAGTACATTTTATGTATACTGTAGTACAAAATATAAATTGTAGTATGTACAAGTGTGTATTACCTTTATTGAGGACTCTTGTTGGCGTATGGAAGACAGTGAGGAAGGGGGTAGGAGAAGAGGTATTAGTGTTTGGAAGGGGAGTCCCCTTCCATTATAACAGCAGTGATGGCATTTCTGGGGTTTTGGAGAGATTGCCAGCATATACGGTAAAAACTCTGCATGTCAATTTGTATCTGGACGAGCCTCTGGTCATCCGGATGTGGACGTAAAACTATCCGAATGTGATTTTGTCTGGATGACCCCCTTATCCGGTTTATCCAAACGAACGTGGAAAACGTTTCTTGATCACTTGTGATGGAAATGTATCTAGTATTCTTTAACTGATTGTAGGTTACTTACCAGGAGCAGCCTCTAGGCCAGTTTAGGGTAGTAAGGGAAATGGGGATAAAGCAGAAAATAAGCTGGAGATAATAAAGTAAATGGGAAGTTGCTACTGTAATGTGAGGTCATGGATATAGAATTTCAGAAACATGTTTTGAAAGGCTCTCTCTCTCTCTCTCTGCAGCAAATGCCTCATCCCTAGGGAATGTGTCAGAGTTGAATAGTCCGTGGTCTGCCAAGACTCCCAGTAGCAGCTCCTTCATTGAAAAAAGCCCTGGTAGGGGAAAATCCCCAGGTAAGTATCTTTACTTTTTGCTCTATTGTTCAATTTTTGTACCAAATAGTACAGTGGTACTGTACTCAACTGTACTAATTTTAACAAGAAAGTAATACTGTATAGTGCAGTACAGTACTGTATTATTAAAGTTACCAAGAGGAATTGTTGCCGAGCCTATTGTAGTCTTCTTGAGCTTTTGGCAATTGTATTACAAGACAAACAAAAGGGTTTCTCAAATTCCCCATTAACCCTTAACGTGCTCGGGGTCTAATATCCTGCTATCCACACAGGCGCATGTCATTTTGAAAAAAAAAAAAATTTTTTTTTTTTGCTAATCTGTTAAGTTCTGTTCACTGATCACGGGAAAAATAAAAAAAAAATTCTATTGTACTTACTTTTGTTGCAATAGAGCCGAGAAGCTCGGTGATGACGTCACAATCTGCATGTTCGCTCATGCAGTACACGCCCGGGAGGTGTTGCGCGCGGTCCTCAAACAGCCAGAGTTGCCACAAATATATTTTCGCGCTATTTATTTACAATGTCTAAGCGCATTTTATCTAATTTTTTTTCACTAATTGTGTTTCAAATACTGTTTGAACATATTTTGAATCAATAATTGTTGCATATTTGAGTATACACAGGCGCACACAAATGTTTTCAATTACGGCAATATAATATGTCATTACAGTCTATTATATTGTATGTTCTGCTTATATTTGTATATATTTATACACACGCACACGCTATCTGCTTATATGTTTACATATTTACACACTCGCACACGCTATACACACTTTGAAGCACACTTAGAAGATTTCTAGACTGTGGTAGTCATTGAAGCAGTCGACAGCACATAATGGGATACCACACGTTTCACACCATGTTTGCACAAGCTTCCGTTTCTTGTCTCTACGTGTCGTTGTTTTACACACCAAGCAATCACGTTGGGCTATTGCACGCTTCACACCAGGTGGCAAATACTTAAGTTTGTGTGCTAGGAATCATCATCAGTCTATCATCAGGTGTTCGGTCCTGAACACTTCCAAAATGTAGACACCTGAGGAGTATCTGAAACCTGTCTCGTGACATATATTTCCCGAATAAAGGTGTTGGTATTGTCTTGTCCTTGCTCCAATAGTCATTTATTGCATGTTTGTGACAGTGCTTCATCAACAAACAGAGTGCCAAAAACACATACATTTCCGCCACTGTGGTATTTTTCCAACGCTGCAGTCGTGAAAATTCTGTGATTTCCCTCTCAATCAGGTAAGCAGCATGCAGGTTCGTTTGGTGTACAATGTATTCCATGAGTGGTTCATCATAGAATGCTGTAAAATATTCCATCTCAGCCATGTCCTCACCTTGATTAGGGAAAAGGTTTGTAATCCCTACATCTTTATCGTCAAAGTGAGGAATATTAGGAATAAAATCGTCACCATCACTCCACTCAAGTACACCAGGCGTCCTGCGAGATGCAGAGGAAAGACGGCGAGGAAGCGATGCATACCGGCGACCAGGAGCTGAATACCGTCTGCGAGAAGCACGGCGGCTACGTGCACGTGAGGTGGGTGCACGTGAGGTGGGTGCACGTGAACACGAGGGTCTTGGTCCTTCATGTGGTGCCATGCGGTGGCGCTTGGCCGGGCGAGATGCTGCTGACGCGACAATTTCTCGCCCAGTTACACCACTGGTACCAGCCACAGGCTCAATAAAACTTTGATCTGAGTCACTAAACCCAGAAAAGGAGTCACCTCCCTCTGACTCGTCACCCTCAAACAGAAAATATCCACAGGAACTGTGAGGTCGTGGTAGAATTGGGGTAGAAAATGGGCGAGGAGGCATGGGAGAGCGTATAGGCCTCGCCATGGCATGGCGGTCATTCTCACTTTCACTGCTGCTGCTACTATCACCCGACAACTGTGTATAATCCTCATCGTTGTCTGAATCGTCAAACACACTTTCTTCACCTTCAGAGAATAATTCGTGGGCTATTTGCTCTGGGGTGAGGGACTGAGTGGTGCGTGCCCGTGAGGCGTTTGACCGTGCGCTCGCCATGGTGACTCTCGCTAAACTGAGGCCTCCCATGCCATCGGATCGTGAGCTGGATTTTTTTTCAAAATGGCCGCTGTTTACTAGAGCCCCTGGGCAGCGTATGGGACCCCCAGCTACACCGCGGGCCATTCAAATCGTGCGCGGTACCCATACACTTCATATGAAGTGAAGCGCAGTTGACTGGTAAAACGATTTACACTTCATATGAAGTGATGCGCACTTTAAGGGTTAAATTGAATCCTTCAAGTTTACCCCAACATCACAAGCAGTTTCTGTGGGGGAGCCCCGTCGGCTCCCTGGAGCTATTAGACCAATATTGACTAATATTAGTACAGGGCTTCAGTCATATGGAGTTGTCATGCCTACCGGGGACCACTAGCCAGAACATGGTCCACTCAGAGAGGTGAAGGGAGCAATGGCCTATGAAACTTTCAAGTATTAAAGTATTCATGTCTGCCATGGACTGGGGTTGAGCACCCAGAAAGGTAGGCGCTTCAAGAGAGACTGCTACTGGTAGAAAATTGCAACCAAAGACTGAACAGAGGCAAGAAACTCCCCCAAAGAAAAAAAGTTAACGAGCAACACGTCACACCACTGTGCACCGCTCATTCGTGCCGACCACTCTCCCCCCAGGAGGGGAAGAGGGGTCCCAGCCCACTGAGCCGGCATCCGGATCGTCAGTGGTTCAACTAAATGTATACTGGGTAGAAGCCTGCTCTGGCCTCGATTACCTGATTGGTTTCACCCTACTGGTGTTCCTTCTGCATTGTGGCAGTGGCCTGGAATTTGTACCAGGGGCTGCATGTGCTAAGGGCTCCCTTCACTAGGCTCCCGGTGAATACACCCCTTGGGGTTCAGGGTTCCCTTCTCTGGATCCTTCGGGTTTCAGTTTCCGTAGGGGACTGGGCGGTTCGCTACCTAGCTCATGGGGTCAGCCTAGGTCCCGATACCTTAGTTTGGTCCTGGTTAGGGAGTGGTTAGTTGCTGGATGGGGCACACTGGGCTGCCCAGCTTGCATAATCGAAGTGGCCATGACTCTTTCTGGTCCCTTGGGTTGTGGTTCTTCCTCCTGAGTTTTTCATTCATTAGTTTGCTTTATTGCCTGTTGGGAGGCAGCTACAGTACATATTAGATGATACCTATGTTCAATAGAGTGGTCCTACTTTGAGTCTCCAGGATTGCTCGCCTCATGGGCCAGTTTGCCCGGATATATTACTGGGATACAACCAGCTTTGGTGGTCTATCTCTGGGCCATTTACTTGTAGGTAAATAACTTCCTGCGGGAAAACTCTGTCGGGACTTTGTTGACCATGATGTATGAGTCATCAGCGTTCCATCTCTCCCTGTGCAAGTTTGAGGGTTGCTCATTGCCCTTGACTAAGGGTGACGATCACATGTACTGCCTCCGTCATGCTGCTTGTTGGGTCGACGACACCTACCTGGAGTCTTGAGACTTGTACTCTACTCGTACTCCAATTTACCCATACTGCTACAGCTGAGGTTAGAGGTCAAGCAGCTCACGCATTGCATGCCAGGTTGCTGCAATGCGCACGATTGGTTGCCCGCTCGAGTGCCCTGTGGCTGCCTCCGTTTTGGTTATAGGGACTTGGACTCTGGGGCATTGGTCACTTCAACCACGGTTCCGTCCAGGCCCCTTTGTCCTCCCCTTGTTGGTGTGGTTCGCCGTTCTCCTCCCTCTCTGCTTCCGGCTCCCAAATGTCTGAGGGTTTTGGGGGTCGGGACAGGGTTTAACTGGGGACGAGGCTCGGGTGGCTCCGGGGATTGCCCCATTTGAGGCAGGGACAGAGGGATTTGAGCCGGTTCCTCCTGCTGAGGCTCCTGGGTCCCTTTCTTGGATGACCTTCCAGCAGATCCCTTTCTTGAATGCTTTTCCCTTGGACTTTGCCTTTTCTTCAGGGATGGAAGGCATTGAGGATGGCTCTGCCCTGGATCATAATTTTATAGATTCCAGGGCTGGGGGGGAGAAGGCGGCCTGGGGTGTTCAGGGCCCCTTTTGAACCTGCCTGGGTTTTGGTGCCTTCAGGGCAGTCTGCTGTACCAAGGTTTGGGGTTTTTGTGCCCCCCTCCCTCTTCCTTGTACAATTTGATGATGGGTTCGCCCCCTCCCCTCCCCTTCCTTGTACAATTTGATAAAGGTTCGGGCCCTCTCCTTCCCCCTCCCCCCCCCCCTCCGGGTTCCCTTGGGTTCCACGACTGCATCCTTCCGGAGAGTTTCAACCTCTCGAATTTCTCCTGCGGTGGTTTGGGAGGCTTTAGGTGCGTTCTGTACCTCCTGCGAGACCCAGCTTCTGTCTCGGTGCTTGACCCGGTCTCTCTTGTTCGGGTCTTCTTCGGCGTATTGGATGCGTTACGAGGTGCCAGCATTTCCTGGCTTGCGGACTGCCCTATCTTTTCGTGGGGGGGCATGGCATACGCTCTGTTGTTCCTGCATGCTTGAGTGGCAGGAGCTCACTATGGTGTTGCAAGTGTACTTAGGGAGCTCGTTTGAGCATCTTGAAGCGTGCTTGTATGCCCCTTTGCTTCCTTGTGAGATAGGTGTACTCCAGTTGCACTTCCAGGTCCCTTCCCTTTTGGCTGCTTTGGCTGTGGAAGATTTTTGTGCTCGCGAGCATTTGGTTTCAGTCCTTCGTTTTTTTTTTTTTTTTTTTTTTTTTTTCCCCTCCTTGAGCTGTCCTCGGACTGGCTTGTGAAGGAGTTGGCTGTCGGGTCGTCGTCTGGTGCATTGACTTCAGTGGCTAGAGCATTGGCGGAGTTGCTTAAGCTGTTTGCGCCTATCTTCCAGGAGGCAGTGTCCCTGTTTTACGCCTCTCACCTCATGTGTCGGCAAGCTGTCCTTGCCCTTTGTGGATTCTGCTTGGGTCCGGGCTCTTAGGTTCTCGTCTCCTTTTTTGCCCACTGTTGTTTTCGGATTTGGTTGTCTGTTTCTCCAGGCGGCTTCTGCAAGT